CCCCCCCTGAAAAAATTCTGCGTACGCCACTGAATATATATATATATATATATATTATATACATTACACAATTCAACATTTCAATAAATCTTTCTAGTAAAATGAATATAGATGTTAAAATGATATAAACTTCAATTTTATTAAAACCATTTCAATTCACAAACAGTTTTATAAATACAATACGTCTTATTTCATTTTAAAGCCTTGTGATCTAAAAACGTTTTGATATTTTGCAGGAATCTTTGAAACCTGTTTTTCAATCTGATAAGCCTCAAGAAAATACTGAGGCTTCTAAAGAAATGCTCTATACTTGTTTAGACACAGGTCTAAAGCTGTTGAGCCCTTTTATGCCTTTTGTTACAGAAGAATTATATCAAAGAATTCCTAGGCGTGAGAATGATTCCACCATTAGTATTACTATTTCACGGTACCCAATACTGTCTGAGGTAAGCTTTTGACTGCTAATTAAACTTTGCTATTATTTTGTTATTGCACTTAATATCTTATAAAATCACATTGTTAATACATTTTAGGACATTGAAAGTTTTAAGGATTTAATTTTATTTATGTTGTTTTTGGGAAAACTATGGTTTCTATTATATATTGACAAACCTTTTAGGACTAAGTTTTCTTTTCTTCGTTATTGTTTTCCCTTTCTTATTATTTTCCTTTCTAAAAATACATAAACTTCTGATTTGTAAATTAAAAAAATATTTTTATTTTTTTTATTGAACTTGGACAAGCTAATAATGATTAGATTGATGAAACTTCAATATTTTGTCTATATCTTAAAAAATTTTCTAAGATTGATTTTTTTTTTTTATACAATTTTTTTATTCTTAATGGTTTGATTGAAATCAGTTTAAGAACAACACTCTACATTCAAAATCTAAGTTATATTTAATTGTCTATTTATTTTATAAGTTATTATTTAACATTTTAATTTATTGTCTATTTAATTATATTAATATGCACGAATATTAAACATACAAATATACTAAAAGATTATATTTTAAACATGAATATTTATTTACATTGTCCTTTTATATTAGTTCCCGTGGAAGAATATTGAATTAGAGAAAAATGTTACATTTGCTCAAGATGTCATCCACAAAGTTAGATCTTTAAGAGCTGATTATAACTTAGCTAAAAATGAAAAATTAGACTGTAAGTATACTTATATACATGATCATTACTGAAACTTTACATTTTATTGTTTATATATGTTAGTTCTATTTCTTTATTTAATATCTTTTTACTAAAATTGTCTTAAATAATTCCTTATTCATTCTAACCATTTGTCTCAATGAAAAATACATGTGCTAATTTTTAATTGTGGTTTCATAATATTATAACTGAATACTACAATATTATGACAGAAAGTAATTTAACTGTTTCATTTTCCTGTTTTAATAGAACCAAAAATAAGCATATTTTTACTAAATAATTTTATATTCTAATTGATCATATGAATTCAAATCAGCAATCAAAATGATTATAGCTATTGCATATATTAATTTCTGAGATTTTAATAATGGCAAAAATAAGACTTTTTTTTTTTTTTTTTTTTTTTNGTCGTAAGTCTCAAGTTTTTTTTTTTTTTTTTTTTTTTTTTATTTTTTTTAAGTCTAAAACTGGAAAGAACATTTTCCAGGAGATTGGAAAATGTTTTGGAAATGGAAGAAAGAAAACATGAATTTTTGAATACTTAAATTTTTTTTTCTTTTCAAATTTCAGCTGTGGTATGCTATAATTTAAAACATGGTAATTACAAAATTATATCCCGACAAAATTGGTAAATAACTAATCACAAAGTGTATTATGCTAATAAGTTAAAACTAACTCTTACAAATTCCCCACCTAAATTAAAAGCAGTAAAACCTGTCCTTCAAATAATTTTACAATCTAATCTCTTCCGGATTGCTAGAGACATCTGTTAGAAATGCTGCAAATTAAAAAAGCCACACAAATCAGTAGACTAGTGTAAGAAAATACATGATCGAAGCAATGTACAGACGATTAAAAATGGTCGTTTTTCATAGCACCAGAACAGTGTTCGGGACTAAGAGTTAAGTAAAGAAAAGGTTCACATTTTTTAGCTTTATTGAAAAAAATTACTTTTAAAGAGATTACATTCAAAACATTTAGCTTTAAAAAAAAAACTTCTTTATTCTTCAGCCTTTGGGGCAAATCCTCTCAATCTATAAATTGTAACCCAAACAGGATCATAATCTACAAACATCACTACAATATTTGAATAACAACTTCTTGATTTTTCTATAATAATTCACCTAAGCGACTTATAGAAAACAATTTCAGAGCTAATTTTATTTTTAAATTTTAAACCTTGAATATAAAAAAGGAAATGTTCATTTAATTTATTAATTTCATTATTATAAATAAATGTCTCCAATTACCATTTAAATGTACTTGTTCTTTGTGTAGCCATTTTTTGTAATCTACCTTTTCTTCTTCTTTTTTTTATTTTTATTTAAATAGATGTCATAAACCAGATTTGAATTTTTGAGTTTGAAGGGGAAAAAAAGAGGTTGGGGAACCCTGCTCTATAACATAAAAAATTAAATTGCCTTATTTGGAAGAAAATGAAGGAAAAAAAGGAAACTTTTGTTGCTAATTTGAATTTCTTTATTTTAGTGTTTTTAAAGTGTGATGATGAAAATATAAAAGCCTGCTTATCAAAACTAAGTGATACAATAATTTTCCTCACATCCTCTGCATCTCTTACATTAGTAAATTCTGAAGAAATTCCCAAAGGATGTGCGATCACTACAATATCTGAAAATTGTGAAGCATATTTACTTTTGAAGGTATGTATTGTATCTAAATGGTTCAATATAATAAATATTAAAACCTATCCATTTTGTTTTGTTTTTTTAAAGTAAGTATCCCTAAATATTTTTTAATTGATAATTAAACTACAAACCATTAATGAATGAATTTTTAAATATAATTTTAAAAAATAATAAACTGGCTTCTTAAAGCTGTGGATTTTTAAATAATTTCAAAATGATATGCACAAATACTGCTAATATTTATTTGATGTAGAGCTTAAAACTATTACATTATTGGTTCTAAGTTTTGTGTTATAAAGATAGAAGCTTTGCCATATATTTTATAAATTAATTTGAAATGTTAAATAAATTCAAAATGATATGCACAGATATTGCTAATATTTATTTGATGTAAGTAGAGAGCTTAAAACTATTACATTATTGGTTCTAAGTTTTGTGTTATAAAGATAGAAGCTTTATCATATGTTTTATAAATTAATTTGAAAAGTTAAATAAATTCAAAATGATATGCACAAATATTACTAATATTTATTTGATGTAAGCAGAGAGCTTAAAACTATTATATTGTTGATGTTAGGTTTTGTGTTATACAGTTTGAAGCTTTACCATAGCATTTATAAATTAATTTGAAATTTTAAACAAAAAGGTGTTTTTTCACCATGAATCTAAACCCTTCAATTAATGGCATCTTGTAAACAGTGATGCGCAGCTGGGCACAGATAAATGATTTATTTTATGATACATTTACTTGTTTAAAAGTCAAATTGTTTTTGCGTTAGTCTGATTACTTATTACATTGTTACAGCTGTATTATATTTCATCTAGAAATATGCTACCTAATTTATACTCAAGATAACTAATTTCTTATTAGCAAAAATATATTATATATTAAATTGCTATTGCTGTATTATGAAATGTTATTCAGTTCCCTTAATAATTTCATTGGGAAATATTATAATTTTACTTTGTTCAAGTAATAAAAATTACAAATATGATAAGTAGTATCTAGAGTCTGCTATGATTTTAAGTTAAATTATCATTAATTGTCAAATTGTGTATATTTATTTTAATGAGATTACTTATTGAATTATTTAATAAAACAATAACAAGGAATTAATCTAAATATATTTTTTATCTTTTGAAAAATAATTTTTTTCATTATGCTTCTTTTTCCTCAGGGTCACATTGATATTAATAAAGAAATTACTCGATTAGAGCAGAAACAACAAAAACTTAGTTCTCAAATTATCAAGTTGAAAGAAGCCACTCAAGTAGATGACTATGAGATAAAAGTTCCAATTGCAGTTAGAGAATCACATGCAGAAAAGGTATATTTTGAAGTGTTTAATATAGGTAAAGGTATAACTGTCAATTTTTACTTTATCCAAGGACTATTTTTCCAACTGGGAGTATATAATAAAATATAAAGTGAGGTGATAACAAATATATTTTTAAGTTTACCTATACCATCATATAATTATTATGCATTTTTATATGTCCCGCAGTGAACTGATCATTAAGACACGGTTCCCGGCAGATCACCGAAGTCCAGCATCACTGGTTGCGGTCAGTGTGCAGTTGAGTGACCACTTGGATCAGTCTGCGTAGGGACCGAGGGTGTACGGTATTGGTCCTCGTTAAACTGTTCTACCGTAAAGTGCTCGACTTCGCGTGCAGGTCATCAGGCTACCAATGCGGGGGTGCCATCCCCTCTGCAAAGAATCATAATTGTGATGGCATGTCTTCGGATCATCCTCAGGGATGTTTCCCAGACCGTCGCCAATAGCCCATTGTGCAGCTCTAGTGCGACGTAAATGAGCAAAGAAAGAAGAAAATATGTTTTATATGTATATGTAGTGGTAATCAAAATCATTTTTAATTTAATTTATAAAGATTCAATTTAGAGAAAATATAGTTTATTGAAGAAATAGCAATTAATATTGATGTTGAATTATGTTAAAGTATACTGAAAAACGAAACTCTGTTTTAATATTACTTCATTTTTAACCCATTTATGATTAAGTTTAACTTTTTTTGACAATATTGTTCACATATAATAAATGAAAGAAATATCCTCATATTTACTTACTAAAATAAACACTGGGATGTTACTTTTTAACTTTAAAGAAGGAGTGCACATGTGGTCCACAGGCCAAATGCAATCTTTAAATTGTTATGCGGCCTTTTGTCTTACAACCAAAGTTTGAATTTTTTTAATCAAATCACATTTAAAACTAATGAAGTTCTAAAGGATATAAAGTTAAAGATTTAATTTAAATGCAGTAACAAAATTACTATAATTTTATCAGAGTGTATGAACAAATGTTTTTTAATTCAAAAATATTACTGTTTAAATTACATTTTTTTTTCTAACAATCTAAAAAAATTTGAACCTCCCTGGCTAACTATAACTAATACATGTATTCATTTTCAGATAACTTTAAGTGAAGGGGAATTGAACAAAGTCCTACAAGCAATAGAGACATTAAAAATTATGGACTCTGCTTGAAGCTGAGTTTTCTATCTGCTTTTATCACAGCATTCCTTCATATTTAAGAAGCAGTAACAATTAAATTATTTTGCAAATGAAACCACAGCTCTGCAGACGAAATCATTCAAGTATAAACAGTTTGAAATCTCTCTAATTAATCATTAATAAAATGCTAGAAGAAATTTGTGCTATTCATACTGAAACACTGTACAATTTTTTTATATATAATTTATTTATTTTCAATAAAATTATCTAATTATGTATTGCAGTAAATTATTTTAAGTAATTTTTATTCTTGGTGAGTCAAGTCTCTGTGTAAAGTTTGCTTTGTCACGGCTTTAATTAAATGTTGATTTGCCTATTTAAACTCTTGTCTCATAATGTTACAATTTGTCAGTGATACTAAAGAAACTATCATTTTAAGATAACCATGCTCTATTTTCTAAAAATGTCTACTGCTACTAAGGAAAAACAAACAAAAACATTTTCATCATTTTAATGAATTGAAATAAAATATCATAAAAATAGTACAAATTCAGAAACATCAATAAACTATCCATTTATACATAGATAAAGAATAGATACATATCGAAAATGATCAACATTCATTTACAGACATTTTGTACAAAGTTATTTTATAAACTGAGTCTATTCTAAGGCACTTTACAATAAATGCAAAATTAAAATAATTTTTATGTATTCAGTTAAACAATATAAATTTTTTTCATAATTTGATTTAGCATTAATTAATTGCATGCTTTTTCATTAAACTAGATAAATTACTACTAACTTTTAATTACCATATTAAAAAAATCATTTGAAATTTCATACAATGTCTTATAAAATTTTCAGGTACTGTATTTAAAATTATAAAATAAAACTATATTGCATATAAAAGGATTTATCAAAATATTCCATTTTTCTTATTTAAACTTTTGAAACTTTATTCGTTGATTTACATGTAAGATAGTTTTTCAAAAAGTTAGCTACCATCATGAACATTTATTCATCTAAACAAATTGTGCGGATCATAGCATCTGCAACAGCGTATGGATCACAATTCGAAGATGGTCTTCTGTCTTCAAGATAGCCCATCTTCTTCTCTGCAACTTGGCGAGGTATACGAATACTGGCCCCTCTATTTGCAACACCTGCAGAGAAGTCGTGAATGCTTGATGTTTCGTGCAATCCAGTTAATCTTCTTTCGTTATCTTTGCCATCCTTTGGATCATAAGCTTTAATGTGGCGTGGATGGTTGCGAGATAGCTTTTCAATGGCTTCTTCAATGAATCTGCAAGTTGATTGATAAAATTTTAATAATTATGTAGTTCTAATATTACATTCATGCTTTATTTTCTTTTTTTAGTTAAAAATGTTGTGATGTTTTATGTTAATTTTTAATCTGACAACAATTTTGTTTTTCCATAAATCAATTGTTTATCCTTTGGTGTTAATCAGTAGAGATACAGTGCTTGAAAGTAGAATTTTTGTCTCAGAAGTTGGATAGTTACAGTGTTGGGACTTGAACTTAAAACGCAGTTAATTATAGAGTGGGTCATATTACGAAAAACTTTTCCAAATTCAGAATTTCAAGCTTAATAAATTATTTCCTCTAAACAAATTTTTTTGTCAAATTTAAAATGATTTAAATTACCTAGAATAGGCATGAAGTTTCATATTTTTAAAGTCAAAAACTTATTTTGAAAGCATTAATATATTATAAATTTTAGTTTTTCTATTCAAGAATGCAAAGCTTAGAAAGTAAAATAACAATTAAAAAAAGTAATATTTAGGTCTCACAATATCTACTTATACTATTGATATCTACACTAGGAAAACCGTAATTTTCACTAAGAAATAAGAATATTCTCAATTTTAAATCTCCTATCTTTAGATTAGGTTGTCTCTAGTGCAGTGTTTCCCAAAGTGTGGTACACGTACCCCTAGGGGTACGGGAGCAGTTTACCGGGGGCACACGTTGTTATGCGAAATATCTTGCAAAAACAAATCTAACCATGAAAATTTACGATTACGTCTTTTTCTGTTGACTATTTTTTGTAGAGTTAACAGTTAATAATTAGTGGTGTCAACAGTCAGTTGTGATTTTTACTCTTGTGCAGTTTTTTTATAGTAAAAAATGCATTCATTTTTTTATTAGTGGTACACAGCATTACGAAAAATTTAAAAAGGGTACACAAAAATCAAAAGTTTGGGAAACACTGCTCTAGTGGTAATCTTAAGATTATGTTAACTCCATGTTAGATTTCTGGAGACCTAAATGTTTCATTTCATTTTTCTTTACTGCAACTTTACATTTTTGTACTTGAAATATAAATATTTGTTTTACGATTCTGTTTTAGTAAAAATTGTTGAAGTTTTTGACTAAAAAAAATGAAACTTTGACCTATTCAAGCTTCTGCCTATAACAAAATTGCTGAATATTAATTCATGATGAGAAGACTAGAATGATTAGTTAATTATGAAGGTAGAACAAGTTTTGAAATTATATTTCCAAAATTCATGGAAGTTAGAAAAATTTATCTGTTTGTTAGAACTATTTGGTCTGATAGGCTCTTTTTTTTCATTTTTTGAAATAGTTCTTTACAATATGTGAATCTTACACAGTAAAACATGTTTTATTTACATGTTATATTACATATTTTTAAATTTTATAGCGATTTTAAGGACTCAATTTGAAGTATTTTCGTGCATTTAATTTATATGAATCTAAGATAATTAAAAGCGTGGGAAAATGAATAATTTTGTTTTTGTAGGTAGATTTAAGGATGATATATCGCTACTGTTTAACATAAATTCAAAAAAGATGGTTTTCAGCTTAAAAATGTCAAAGTTCCTGGATAACTATCTACAGTTACAAAGCAATAAAATAAATTATATTTGTATTAAATCTTGTGCATTCAACAAAGATGCAAAATACTGGAATTTTTTTTTTAAATCATCTTAATTCATGAATTCTTTATAAATAAAAAAAAATAGCTGATAAACTAAGGAAATCCTTTTTGATTTCAATTAATACAATTACAAAAATTCAGGCTAGAAAAAAAAGTGTTCCAGAATCTGCATCTTTACTATAATTTTCAGAGCCTTTTTATAAATGGATTCAAAATATTATTTAATTTACATTAGAAGTCGCTAATGAACATTTAACTGAGCAAAAAAGTGGTAGTGAATCACTACTGAAGAAGACAGGACTAAAAACATGTTTAACTGTCAGCTGAAAAGGACCAGTTAAAAAGCCCTTGTTATTAACATCTTTAAGTTCAATAAGGCAATCAAAATGGTTATGGTGTTTTTTTAAACTGCCTTCCTCACTGGTGATTTGACATGTTTTGATCGTTTCATGCTTTATGTTCCTTTCATGCTTTAATATTAATTTGAGTTTGAGAAACTAGTATAGTCAGACCGTGTATATAGTTTGTTTACCAGGAGTTGGCACTTGGCTCCGCCTTCATCACGTGGTATCCGCGCTATTTTTGGGAGAAGGATGTGAACAATTCTGAACAAGGTTACTATTTGGCGATTGTATGTCAAAAATATTTATTTTGCAATTTTTATGTGCCTTTTTTTAACAATATTTCATAAATTTAATGACATTTCTTTCTTTTGAGTGAATAGTATGTCCTTTTTGAGGCATTTTGCTGTAATATATTTAATTAGCTAAAGTAACGAAAGATATAATAGCAGATGATAAAGCGAAGTAAGTGACTGAAAAAGAATTCACTGTTTACATTTGGCGAGCAGTAAGGGTTGTCTCAATTTCAAGCGCGGGGACGTTTCTCCCAATACACCCCGTCCTAAAATGAATTCTTCGTCCGAGGAGATGAAGCCAAGTGCCAACTCCTGATGAACGAACTATACTTTAACTTCTTTTTTTGGAACAGAATACGTATTAAAGGGTTGAATCAGACTTACTTTAATCCATTGGTTTCTCTCATTGCTTTTGTACTAAAATTTGTGTGAGCTCCAGCACCATTCCAATTGCCTGGCATTGGTTTAGGATCAAAACTTACAACTACTCCAAACTCTTCAGCAATTTGATGAAGAATAAATCTTGACATCCAAACTTCATCACCAATTGATGTTCCTTCACATGGGCCAACTTGGAACTCCCACTGAAATGAAAAAGTATTTCTATTATACAAGGTGTTCTATAATCACTCTCTTTTATCTATCACAACTTCAAAACTTGTATGATGGTGGAGGAGACATTATCGTAGTAATAGCAAAATTTATGTTTTAAAGTATAAATCTTTATCATCAAGCCAGAAGTTGAAACGGATTTATGAAAAATCTATTAGTAACCCAGTTTTGTGAATAAGTTGTTTGCAAAGCAGCTTAACTTTTAGGAGGTTTTCTTCCTACTTCAGTGATTATTGTCACTTTTATTTTCGTAAACTCTTTTCATAATTACAGTACTAGTTTACTTCTATAATTTATATCTGTTAATATTCTTGTTAAAACTAAAAAATACTTGCTAAAACAAAAACATAAAATATCTAAACATGTGGGGTCACAAATTAATATTGAAGTGAGAAAAAAAAAATCTTTGCACACATTTACTGTAATCATAGTTATGATAGTTAGTCATAAAACTATTTGAATGCATCATTAGCATGAAGGTAAATTTCTTTCTATTATTTTTTATTTAAGAAACATACGGGAAAATAAGTTCAGATTTTTGATTTATCTATTGTGTAAACAAATGTAAGTTTAAAAATGGATTTTAATAATACTTAATGTACCTGAAATGCAACTACAAATAGTGTTATTACCATTATCAATTAATTGTTTTTTAATACTCAAGTAAAATGTTTAACTAAAAAAAGAGTCAATGTGCAAGAAATTTCTTAATAAAAAAAAGCAAATTTTTTTTTGAAGCTTTATTTTAATATTTCTAAATTCTTTCCGGAACTATATTTTGTTTCGAGAATACGCTGTGCTTCACCACAAAAAAAAAATAATAATAATAATAAATAGAGGCTGCCAAAAGTTGAAGAGCTGAATTTAGCTAACATCGGTTTCTTATTTCACTTTGTACAAGTTTTAATAATTTTTATTATATAAAACAGAATATTAAAATAATAAGAAATACTATAAAGAAGAAAATTAAAGTAATGAAAAACTTTTATCTAAACTCTAAAACTCTTTTAATTAAAATTATTAAAGAAAGAAAAAATTGCATCAAATTTTTGGTGTATGAAAAATTGATGTATTGAAAAGGAAGGAATTGAATTGAAAAGGACATTTCTATAGCATTTATTTTATAGCCTTAAGGGCATAACTCTTTTACGATTTCTATCTTAAGAATTTTCATTGATGAATTATTTTCATTTTTTTTTTAGTATGCTCGAAATAAAAAGTTTTTATTGATTCTCTTTATTGAATTTTATCCATCTTCTTTATGGAACCAATATAGGGAACCGTGCATTTTATTTCCGTCTTCTGAAATTTGTAGTTATAGGAAGCAATATGATATTTAGTGAAAAAAATGGAAGTATTTTTATAGCAAATTATATGGTATTAGTTGCATAATACTATGCTAATTTTTACATACTTTTATGTGTGTGAAAATATTGAATTAAAATGCTTTCTCCAATTTTCAAATAATCTGTGCCCGAATTTATATTTTCTCTGTAAACATAACAGTCACAGCAGAAAAAATTGGAAATACTCCATATGATCCCCTCATCGGGAATAATTAAAAAATTAAGTATGCAAAATAATTAAATTCCATTACAAAAACAGATGTTTTAATTAGAGTTTTTTATAATTTTTATTTTTGATTATAGTTTTTTAATTAAGCCGACCGGCCTGTCTAAGGGTCAAGGAATTGGCCTTGCAAAGTTCTGGGTTCGAATCCCGGGATAGACAAGGATGTTTTCTTCTCTGTACTCTCTATCCTTACTGTGGGAGCAACGTTGGCCCACCTAATATGTTGCCCCTGAAAAAGTGGCCAACAAATCTTCCCTTCATAGGCCTGTGTGAAGAAAGTTCATTCTCCAGGTGGGCATTGTTGAAAAAAAAAGTTTTTTAATAAATGAAAAGTTCCACATCCTTCTAAAATTATACTGATCGTAGGATTGACTTAAATTTAAATGGTTTTAGGAATTCAGAAACAAAAGGCCCAACTTTTTTTAATAAAGGTCATTTTGTAAATGTTATGCTTAATAACCTTACCTGAGCAGGCATGACTTCGGCATTTGTTCCACCTACATTAATACCAGCATACAAGCAAGCCCTGTAATGAGCCTCAACAATGTCCCTACCATAGGCTTTTGTTGCACCAATTCCACAATAATAAGGTCCTAATAAAAATATTGCATAATAATTATGAAAAACAAGAACTTAAAATCAGCATAATATAGCAATGTCAAATTTATATACAGTGTGTTTTACAATGACAATCCTTAATGTATAGATTTAGAATTCTTATTAGTAGGGGAGAGTGGGGTCAATTGTAAAATTTTTTACTTAACTATTTTTAACTAACAAAAAATGCAATATATCATTAGTATTAATTGACAGACGAGTAAAGTAGACAATCCTCTACTAGAAAAAAAATAAATACCTTATTTTAAATGTTATTATACTAGTTATTAACAATTTTTGACAGTCGTGCACTTAAATTCAACTAAAACATAGTTAATTATACATATTATTATAGTTGTGATATATTTTTTATTGATCAAAATAGTAGCGATATTTTAGGAGTAAAAATAATAATGAGCAGAGACCTAAAGGGTTAAACTTTTAACTTTAAAGGGTTAAAAATTTTAATTTGTGCTGTGAAAGGTGACAAATAAAATAATGCACATGCAACATAATATAAATGATATAGGGAACTATTGGTGGTTCTTAAAGAGTTAAGTAATGGTTTGTAAACATAAGATTATTTATTTTTAGCTGTTACAATCGTCCCTTTACTTATTGTTACAATCGTCCCCGAAACGGAATTTCAGCTTCATTTGTTGAAAACAATGCTAGTTAATTAACAAAACTAATCTCTTTTTTTTTGAAATGTTAATTAAGATGTCCACTTACATATTCGGTTAATAATTTTTATTTGTTTAAACAAAATTACTTTGTTACAATATAATATCCTAATACCAAAAAAAGTACTTACGTAGCGTGAAAATATGTTTTGTGACGTAACTCTTTCAAAAGTACATAAAAATGGTTGCCAGCAGGGGTGTACATGTAGATTTATTAAATACACCTTGTGCGCCACCTAGGAACCAAATCTAGAACCCGACACTTGAAATTTTTGCTCCGTTACAATCGTACCCTGTTACAATTGACCCCACTCTCCCCTAAAGTACACACATTAGGAGTTTCGAATTATTTTTTAAGTGAGTATAAAACAAAATACTGTCAAAATCTGAGAAAAACTTAACTGAAAATATCAAACCTTGCTTGATTGTAAGAGGAAACAAATGTGTTGAAGAGTTAATAGAGTTGAATGTTGCCTTTCACTTAGCACAGTCATGAGGCTAAGTAAGTACTATTTATTATCAGATGTAATTACGTTCTTACTGAACAATCAAACTAGTTTTGATGTTTTGCAATCCACTTTCTTCACTGATGATTCGACACATTTTAACAGTTTTACTTTCTCGCTTAAATATTAATTTGCGCCCCCTTGTGTATACTTTCTAGACGGAGATTCTAAATAATATATATGAAAGGTGAACTTTACGAACATTCTACATATTAATTGCTCAGATCTTGACTCATTCTCACCTTGAGGTCCAGGATATCCTTGTTTAGGCCATCCGAATGGGTGTCCGTCAACATCCAACAAAGTATACTCTTGCTCTAAACCAAACCATGGGTGGAAATCTGCAGCTTTCTCCATAGCCTTAACTAGTGAATGCCTTTTGTTGGATTCTAGAAGGAGGAATAAAAGAAATATTCTTGAACTAAGGAGAGGCTATTTGAAGTCTTATTGAACTCTTAGAAGAACGAACTAAACAACATTTTTAAATACTAGTTGGCTAAGCCTCCTTTTCGCTGCCTAACACCCACCTCGATAATTGCTTCACAATAATTGTCTTGACATAAAACAGATTTTTTATAGGAAAGTCGATATTATTCACTTATGTACCAAAAAGAATTCAGTTTGGTTACGCTAGGACCCTTCCCACTTACAAACATTTCCTTAATGATTCTATAATCTGTTAGTGCATGTAAAATTTTTACTCATTAATCATTTTTTTAAGTAACTATAAATTAAAGTTATACTGTTATAACAAATTTGGAGAATTCCCAACCACTCACCAGACAAGCTGATATATCTCATCAAGCTGATCGTTTAGTTCATAATCATTTAACGAATTTTTCTAACTTTAATTCTTTAATAGTAGCATATTAATATAAATTGCACCAAAAATGATAATTGGTAAACGGAAAAAGACACCGATTTCAAAAAGAAAATGTAATGTAAATGAAGCGTAATAAAGATAATATCACAGAATTACGTAAGAATAATGAAAAAAAAACTCTTATTTTTAAACTGAATTTGGGAGAAAAAAATTAAAAAACGTAATAGCAGAGAGTAATTTTAAAAAAAATTATGCATCACAGGTAAAAACCTTTAAATTAGGAAAACAAAAATATTTTACAGGAAAAGAATACTTTATTAATGTCATGCTGATAGCAACAACAAAATATATCGAAATCAATGCTAGACTGACAATGGAAAACTGTGTTGGACCAATGCTACGTTAAGTATGGAAAAATTGACTTCATAAAAAATGAAAATTTGTAATTTAAGAAATTAATTATACTTCAAAAAATTGAAATAATAGCTTTTATTAATTAAAATATTTTGCTTGTAGCCGTCAATCAACAATTAAAACTTGTATTGTCATTCCGCACAGGTTAAATGTGAGGAAAAGTAGTCAAACTTTATAATAGTCAAAGTAGTCAAAATTTTATAAAGTTATTTTGGATACATAACTTTTATTGCATTCGTTGACTGAACAATTTTACATAAAATTTATTATAGAAATAAATATAACCTTTCCACCGTTTAATAATAATGGAAAACGATATCTTTACCGTAAACGTCGAATAATATGACGTCATGAGATTTCTCTATTATGTAATAAAGATATATAATAAACACTCAGTTTCAAGCATTTGATTTCGAATAATAATCTATCAAAGCCGTAACATTTATGAGGGATTATAAATACATGTTACTGATTAATAAGGTAGAAATAAATAATTTGCTATTAAATAATCCTGTAACTTTCATTAACTGTATGTTGATGACAACCAAAGATTAATGGGTCATTTTTTTTTTAATAATCCCATTCTATGTTTTTAAGTCCAATGACAATGCACAGAACAGTAAGAAGAAAAAAATAAGAGGAAAAAGAATAAAAAAGAAAATAAATTATAAAGAAAAAGTTACATAGTTTTTGTTTTCTGATAAAATTGCTAAAGCAATTTTTCCTAACTTTAACTTATGGTATTTTAAATATTATATTTCTAAAGCAATTTTTTCCATCATCATCATAGTTGGCCAGACAGCCCAATATGGGCCAATGCCTTCCTCTGAAGATTTCTCCATAACGACTTCCGCTTTAACTTTGATCTCCAATTCTTTTCATTAATTACAAGAAAATCAGACTCCAACAAGTCAGCCCATCTCAACCGCGGCCTTCCCCGCCTTCTTGTTCCAGTGGGTCTAAGAAAGCAGTATCTTTTTTATTGTATTGTCATCACTTATTCGAATCAAGTGGGCCATCCGATTCTTTCTATTTTTATGTATTTAATAATATCGGGTTGTTTATAAATCCTGTACAGTTCTAAGTTAGATCTCCTTCTCCAGTTATTGTTTCATTTACACCACCAAGTATACTCCGCAAAATCTTTCTCTCAAATATTGATACAATTTTCCTCCAGTTTTAGCATTGTCCAAGCTTCAGAAGCGTATGTCAAGACTGGCCTGACAAGAGTTTTGTAAATTAAGAACTTTGTTTTTCTAGAAAGAAACCTAGACTTAATAAATCTTCTCAGCTCATAGACAGCCTATTTGCCAGATTGACTCCTGAAATAAAAAACCGAGTCTTTCTGTTGTCAATAGTAATAATTGATCCTAAGTAAGCAAAAATCTTTACTGTTTCAGTTTTTTCCAAACTTTATTATAATATCATTTATTCCAAATATTATATTGCTAAAGCAATTTCTTTTTCAGACTTCAAAATATTAACCAAATAACCATTTCTCACTTTCTTTTACAACGTCAAATTTACCAGAGGTGGTTGATACGCAAATTCACTTTTAAATTTATTTTTATTAAATGTATTTTAATTTTTTGAGGGTTATAACAAGCACTAGTTTAGGCGTTATGATAAACTTCAGTTTCATCTTCACGCGTAAGTGATGTAATTACATTCGAAATTTTTTTTTTTTAATGCCAATAAACATGTCTCTGAAACAAAAGTTTAAGCAAAAAAAAAAATTTTTTTTCCAACCAATAATCTGTTCCTGGCTGTATTTATTTCTTAATTTTTACTTATTTTAAGCTTATGCTTCTCATTTTGTCTGTGTTAGTAGTACAAGTGTTCTAGCGGACGAAGCACTCACTATTTTTTTATAAACTTGGAAACATTCGTCGCAAATAAGTATTAAACGATTTTATTTATTTATTTTCGTTTTGGTTTTCGATGTCTTAAAAAACATTGATATAGTTTATACGCTCTTTTTCCATTGCAAGGAAATTTAGTATATTGGTTTGATATCGCTTAATTTAATTTGATGTGAAAAGGATCGTATTTTGAAGAATTATCAGAAGTAACTAGAAGCTGAAGAATCTAGAAAGATTATTTTACCATCACTTATGAATTGCGAATACCATATATGTAAATACTTTATTAATAGCTTTTAAAGATTCAATCCCAGTTGACGATACCAGCAGCCAACAAATTCAGGAATCCTATTATCAGGTATTGTTTGTCATGCAGTCCTAATGAATCGTCATTGGTAACGTCTCCTAGGATTTTATCTTTAAAATAATTTTGAATTTGTGCCCCTATTTCAAGTATAACGATGAATTGGCGCTTCCTATCAAAATTAAGTAAGTGATGGTAAAATACACAGTAACTTTCTTTCATAGAGTTTCTTGTTAAACTCTAAACTATTTAAATCCAGTCTAGTTTATAGTTTCAAAGTAATAAAAAATGTGTATAACGTAGAGAAAAGACAAATTAAAATGCTACCCATAAAAACTGCCTATTACTGTTTATTGGTGATATTTATTTTAAGAAATTCGATATTTTGCATACACGTTCACAAAAATTTATGATTATTTTGAAAGTTTCAATTTAAGCAAGAGAATTTTATTAGTTGTTATAAGTTAGTAGTTAGTATATAAGTTAGTAGTTAGTATATAAGTTAGTAGTTAGTATATAAGTTAGTAGTTATACTGATTGATTTGAGGAACTTTATTACAGCTAAATTTTCGTAACAAAAGGTTTATTTTTTTTATTAAAAGCTAAATTTAGTTAAGAGGAAACAAAATTCATAAGATTTGTACTTAATTGTTTAAATATTTTGTAATATTATTTGAAGTTTTTTCTTGCTTTGACTTCGCCAATAATGCACCAACTATTTGACGCCAAAATAATTAAGTGGTATTTTATCTTCTTTTTTTCTTTTTTTTTTTTTAACTCATCAGCTTTAGCAATCGAAACGATGCCAGAGTAGATTATCTGCATGTAAGTTACTTAGATTTAAAAAAAAAAAAAAAAAAAAAAAAAAAAAAAAAAAAAAAGAGCTTTTAATTTTTGGTGATTTTAAAAATGTAAGAAAGTAGTTTAACCAGTTTGTAAAATTTCCCTTTTTGTTCCCATACAGCAGCTTGGAATCGTTGCTCAAACATTAAATATTTATCCATAAAATTCAACATATTGAAAAAAAAATTTTAATTTTTTATTTTTTGAGTTTAATTGGATTGAATATTTAGGTTACCGAAATAAGCTTTTTTCAAATAGGCTGCGACCATTTCAATGTAAGTAGTACTTAATAATAATAAAACCAAACAGTAATGCTAAAAACTAAGTCTGGCACTAGAATAAATTTGTTTTAAATAAATTCGAAAATTCTTCTAATCATTTCTATAATTGCTCAAGATTTTCATAAAGGTGCTCTCTTATATTGCTAGTAGTACTAATAGTCTTAAAATTCTGAGTTCAAATTTAACCCTTTCATTACCTTCGTACCAGTCTCATCTATCTTCTTCAGCCGCATGTAAAATAAAATATTGTATTGCTTTTCATTTGGAGATTTCTTCGAATAGGCGTTTATTCTACCTACTTTTAAAGAGAAAAATCTGCAAAATAAAATCATCCAAAACAATTCTAACTATGAATAATTATCGTTTAACTAACTTATAGTGAATTACTCCTCTTGAAGACCAAAATATATTAACCGGTTTTTAGGTTTGAATTCGTAAAGAGTTTTCAAAATTATAATTGTGCCACGGGAACTTAATACCAATTTTACGTGTATACCTCACCAAAAAGTTATTTTAATAAGTCTGCGTTTTGGTGCAAATATTTATGAAACTGTCGGGATTTCAAATAATTGCTAAGATAATTTGAAAAACATATTTATTGACATCAACTGTGCAGAGCCGCAACGTTATTGGATACTATTGAACAGATTTATTCAAACTATCAACTTTTAGTACAATCGCGGAGTACTTAAACCAACACAATGTGAGAATTCCTTTAAATGTAAGCTTCACCTGGTATCTTGTACTTTTGTTTAATTTCAATTAGCTCATGCAAACCTTTGCATTTGAGATTCGTGTTCCATTATGAAAACTGTTTGTTTCATTGTGTTCTGCAACTGTATCACTATAGTTTAGTTATCGACCATAATTCAGGGGCTTCTACCCAAGATTGGGCTTCTATGCCTTTAAATCATAGAAATGTTAATTTATTTCAACCCAAAGAAAAAGAAGACAATCTCAGAAAAATCGGACCATAGACAGAAAGATAAGGATTAATCATCGATAAGTTTTTATTGACCTATAAACATTTAAAAAAAAAAAAAAACAATACGTTTTCTACGGAAATATTGTTACCAAAATATTAATATTTGGACATCATTATATCAAGAAATATAAATAAATCCTTTTTGTTAGATTGAGAAAGAATCGGAGGATAATTTAAAAATTAATTTTTCGCATATTTTAACTTCCTTTCATAAATAAAATTACATTAATCTAAACTTTCCCCATAAACATAACAAAATTATTTTAAACGGAAATTTCTACTTGTAGGTTCTATAAACAAAAAATAAATAAATAAAAAATTAAAAATAAATAATAAATGTCTTAAAGATTTAAAGCAAAGCAAAGCTATAAGTGTATACAATTATCAGAAAATGAAAAGACAATATGAATCTAATATGAAACAAATTCAGGTTTAATGTGCGGATATTGTAATTCTAAACAACGATATTTGTCATGTATTCGTAATAAATAACACCATTTAAAGTTAGTAAGCACGTTAATAAAAGCCTAAATTGCATGGAAACATTGTTGCCCTTATTTGCATTATTTGGCGATCAATATCAGTTTTATTCACTACAGATAACATATTCTGCAATAAAAGCTAAGAGTAAAACGCCCATTAATTCCGCGATATTATTTTGTCAACAAGATCTTGTGCAGCTTCAGCATCTCAGACCCGAAAATGGTCGCTATAGCAACGATCAGCTGCCTATGAACAACAAGGAGGAGAATTTGGCTTACTGCCAATCCTGCGCTATTTTCCGTATCCTAGATTTTGCACTTGACACAGTTTTACGACACCTGGAAGAATTGTTTTTCCAGGGAAAAGGAAAGATAATATCAATTCAATTTAATGATACATAATTCTTAATAACTATTTTAAATATAGTTTTTGCATGATAATAATGTTAATGAATTAAATCGTTGTTAGCTTATTTAATTTAAGGAGAAAACTACATCCTGTTTTCTCTAACTGTTTTCCAAAACAAACTTAACTTTTTAAATTTATTAATTCTCCATATTGTTTTACTTACCAGTAGGTTGTTTGTTGAATCTGTATGTTTCGCAAAGCACAAGCTTGTTGTTGCCTCCACGAAAAGGATCCTTATAAATTGCAACGGGATATAAATATACATCAGAATTGGAACCTTCTGCCTGATAGGTGCTAGAACCATCATAATCCCATATGGGAAGCTCTGCAATGGGGGAAAAAAATGATTTTTTTTATTCAATTGTGGAATATTATTTTCGTGGAATTTGTTTTCGATAGAAAGTTAGTTTTTATGCGATAATTAAAAGTATTTTTTTTTATGTTAATAACACAATCAAAATAATAAATGATACAAAAATCTAAAAAGGAAAAAATATACAACATTATTTTTCCTTTTTTGTTTTAAAAACTGAATTTAAAAAGAAAATTTGATAATATAAAAACAAATTGTATACTATTTATTGGTTTCGTAAGAGTGCCAATATTTATCATTGCCATTAATTTGTCAATTAATCTGTAATTATTAACATGAAATACAACATGAGAATTACAAATTATGCTAGCACACGATGGCAATCATAAAACTATAACATATAGGAAATAAAGTAAACACAGTAATTATAACACATGCTGACAACATAAAACTAACACAGCTATAGTGAACATTGAAAGTAAGTGCATTAGCGTAAAATACGACATTAAGTTAGAATACCAGAAGTTAGGGTTAATAAAGTTTGTAGAGTCAATAGCAGGACGTAGATAATTGTCAATATCAGGGTAGGGATTTCAAAATTGTTACAATTCAGATTTCTGCGAAATTCACAAAAATTAAATTGATTTGCAATATTTTAATTACTGATTCTTTGCATAATGTGTATAGTAATAAAAAGAAATTAAATTTCGTAATCGATCGAGAATTGTGAAATATAAAGAACATTGCAAAAAAACTTTTTTTTTCATTTGTTGGTGTGATTTTTACGGTTGTGGTCGTGCAAAACCGTATCGTAATAAAAAAAATTTTCTCTTACAGTTATAAAATAAGATTTTACAACAAATCTGCTGTGTAGGTAATGGGGAATATTTAATATGGGCAGAATTTGTATCGACTTGTCTTCGCTAGGGTTCGAACCTGGAGGCGTGCGCTCTGTCCCCTAAGCCATTGCGAGTATTTTATTAATAAAAAAATTATAATAGAGTTGATTTCGATTCAATATTGTATCTGTTAGCCATAAGGCTAAAACTGCATCTAATTGCAGTTTTATTTATACTATGTTCAAATCTATAAAGTAATTGCTAATAAGTAAGAGCAAGTATAGAAAGTAATTTTAAATGATTGTAGAAAAGGTTAACGCAAAACTGCAAAAAAAAACTGCTAAGGAACGCAAAACTGCATGAGCCAAAACTAAACTTTGGCCCAACGGTTATTAACCATTAGTTATTAGACAGAAAAACCGAGAAAAACCATTTTGTTAACAAAACAGTTTTAAACCGTTAAATATACAGGAAAATTCTGGGGACAAAACGTGTACTTTTTACTGTGCAGACTTGGACGGAAATGCTTTTAAAGTCAGCGTGTTTATCAATTAATAACTCAAAAAAGTGCGGACAAAAAACTTAAAATCGCGTCCGTTAAATTAATTTAGACGAACTTAATCACTTTAATGACCTTCAACTACTTAAAACGAACGAAAAATATAATACTTTAAATATTAATAATTTTTTTTTTTTTTAAAATCAGCAAATTAGGCGAGAATTTTTTAACCTTAATGAAATTCATTAAAATCCTTGAATAATTCTATTTTCGAAAACAATGAACCATTGGTGTAACTTTTAAACTAACTTTTGATTGGTGCAGTGTTAAAAGATTAGGTCAAGAATGCACAAAACTGTACATTTTCTTCTTATTATTATTAACATTTCGTGCCTTTTTCATAATTAGCTTAACAAGCGTTGGACAAAACGAAAGTCATGAAAAACAACGACAAATTTCCAACATTTAAAGAAATAAATTATTAGTTCTTTTCCTGTTAAAATGTATGATGCGAGAAATTTATTGAAAAATTTCTTCTTTCGCACTTCATAAATATTAATAAAGGAGTAGAGTTCACGGTAGACGACCATGAAGTACGTGAAATATTGCGACGAGCAGAAATTCGATCAGCTGAACAATTTCAAACAAGAAGAAATTTCAAAATGTCTATCACCTGTCGACTTTCTCTAAATTCTAATCATGAACTGGCAACTTAATGACATCCTCATGATATAATGTCGTGTAGCAGACAGATTGACTCTTTTCTGGAAAAAAATACACTCAAAATGAGTTTTTATCTTTCAATTTTTCGGGACTTACAGACAGAAAAACCGTCCGATTTTCGATGTTCCTACAAGAGAACGGCAAGCTGAAAGGATTCCATAAAAATATGTAAGGTTGAATGTCCCTGCTTTTTACGATCACTGCAACCACTCTTTCACATCACTCATTTAATATAGCACTTAAATAAAAAATTTAAAAAGCAAAACTTGCTATAACTTTATAACATCTCTTAATAAAACTTTCTCCTCAGAACATAGCAATAAGTATGGAATGATCGGGGGGGGGGGGGNGGAGGGGGGGGGGGGGGGAATGTACAAATTTTTGTTCTGAACATCCATTGTTGCAATGATTAAAATTTCTTCACATATTTAGCTACATAAAATAAAACGAATAACAATAAGTAGTATTCACAAACCATTAACCAAAGAAAAATAGGAGGGGAGGAAGATTACTTGCTTGCCGTGTGAATTTTACGGGAAAAAGGTTAACGGTTAACACTTAAGGTTAACACTTTGAGGACCAAAGACACTGACCCACTTTAAAAACCTTCTCGAATGCTCTAAAAAATATTTTTTAAAAATCAAAATTAGATCTGATGGAAGATCTTTGAAAACTAAAAGGAAACAATAATTTGTTCTCTAGTAAAAAATTGCCAATAAATGCTTATCATAATAAGAAGTCCAACGGTGGATATCAATAAAATATGCTCGTGTCTTAAAGGAACGTTCCCAAGAAACTAAAATGAAAAGATACGTGATCGTGATAACATAAAAATATTTGCTTCAAAAACTTATGAAGGTGGTAAAAGTCGACATGTTTCAAGAGCTTAAAAATATAGGCACCCATTCTCTAGGCCCGCTAGACGTGAAGGTAAAAGCCAAGTAAGTACACGTCCAGCGAGTCTTGAGAAAGAGCACTTATTTTTGAGCGTTCGAAACGAGTTGACTTTTACCTACTTCATAAGTTTCAGAGGCAAATGAAGTTATGTCGTCAAGTATGATCGTGTTTAATCTTAATAAATTTTTACTTCATTTTTTTATTTAATTTTGTTAATTTTAAATCTTTCAGAAATTGTTTAGTTAAAATGAACTATTCGTCAGTCATGATAAGTTCTATTTTTCTTTCCTTCTCTCTTTCTCTCTCTCTCTCTCCCCCCCCCCATATTTTTTTGTTGTTGTTTTTTTTCTTGACTTAGTACTTTTTTTGTATATTCTCAAGTAATAATTTTAGAGAAAACGATAAAAGATGGTGTCAAAACAGAATAAAAGTTTGAAAACGATAAAAGTTTAAAAAATAGAAAACGATTGCAAAAAAAGTTAGTTGAAGTTAGTTGATAAAAGTTTGACAACAAAGAAAGACTCATATTGCCTTCTCGAGGACAAAGTTGGCATCGGAAGCAACGAAACACGTATTTCAAAAAAAGGTGCAGATTTTATTGGGAAAAAAAAAACTTTACATTTGCATTAATAAAATAATTCACACTTATTGTGCCCTTCCGTCAGGGAAGGGCACAATCTTCCTGTTAAAAATACCTCTGTATGCTAGATTAAATAGTAATATAAGAATGGACTTGAAAACACTTACCAGATGGTGATTTGGGGACAAAATCTAGAGTTTTGGTTTTGGATCGCACATTTTCACCAGTGCCGTCAATCCAGACATACGTGCATTGGACTTTTCCTTCAGGTTGAGGCAGAGACAAGTATTTATTCAGAGTTTGTTTGGATAGTTTGAAAGGACTAGTCCCAGCCATGTCTTCAGCAGTACGTTTCTGAAATAAGAAGAAAATGTATCTTTTCTTTTTCAATTAATACCTTAAGTAGGTTAAGCAGTTTATTTTTTACAGTTGAGATTTATTTATTTTTTCCAAAGTTCATTATTTTCTTTGCTTAAGAGAATTATCTAAATAAATCACTGTTGGATCGTTGAGTTGAAAAGCCTCTTTTCTCTCAGATGGATATTTTACCTTGCAAAATCAAACGTACTTCGCTTGGAAAAAAAATAATCAGCTTTTCTTTTTCTAATTTTTTTTCTTCCCATTTTTTAAATGTTTTCTAGAATTGCCGAGTATTTTTCTACTAACATAGGAAATAAGGAAAAAACTCACAGGTGCAGTAAATGACATGGAAACTACGATTATTGGAATTCAAGAAAAAAACTAAAATGGAAAACTTAGGGCAAAGAAAACTTTTGAAAATTGTAATTTTTTCAAAAAGAAATTTAAGCAAAAAATCTACCTAAAAAATTTCTTAAATTTGCTTATTTTCGCTTAAAATCAGTCATTCATTTTTCAAAGAATAAATATTGATAATTAATTTTCTCTTTTAAATTTTAAACATGAAAAAATAAGTGGACTGTGGTAGCCCAGTAGTGAGAAAATCGGACTCGTTAGCTGTGTCTCTATCCTCGACACAGCTTAGACTCACTATGTTCATGCGGTATATGCGTTCGTGAAATCTGTGGAATCAAATGTCCTGTGCTCTGTCACTGAGTAGTACCATGGGTATACTGCCGTGCAATTGAAAAAAACAATGTACTAAGGGCTTCATGATTGATTCCGAAAAAAGTGGCTTGACAACTGTTTTCCTTCTATTGCTAATGCTATGAACACTAAAATAGAATCTAAAAAAACTGATAAAATAAAATAAATTTTTGAAAAAATTTTCTTCCAATATGTAGTTCACCTTAAAAAGATGTCAAATATACAAAAATCTCAATTTTGAATTTTTGTCGCTTGCGTTGATTTTTTCTACTGACAGGGATTTGGAAAAAATTCTCTTCTACATCAGATTTACGTCTAAATTGGGGAAATAAAGATGAGTGGTACTGCCATCTATCTGTGGGATTCTGAGCCAAGACGTGCTTTTACCCTTGTGGTGCTCTCTTGTCATGCTCTCTTTGCTGGAAAACATAATACACGTTTTCCTGCCTTAATGTGCAAAAGGCTAATAGCTGGCGAGCTTGTTCTGTCCAAGTATTATAGCAAACAACAAAAATCAGTTAAATGTGCCAGAATTAAGGAAATTGGATCATAATAGAGGAGATGATTAATTTAAAAGATTTCTTTAAATCTCAACATAAAGTTTAGATTGCATTTTTAATATTCACGTTTCACACATTACGTAGTTCGAAAAGAGATTAACGCAGTTTTTAATATTTTAGGCAAATTTAAATAAAGTTTTGATTTTCAAACAATTATTATTTTTTTTTTTTTTTAATTTTAGCAGAAAATTGATATTAAATAAATGAAAGGACAAGGGAAATTAGTCACTTAGCATCTTTTATTTTTAAAATATAAATTTGCATCCTTTTTGCACTCTACGTCACTACAAAACAATGTCTTAGAATGCTTCAAAATTCTTTAAGTATATGAATTTCATACATTTTCATAGATGAAGAATACCTCATAATATGATTTAAAGAGATTTTTTTTCCTTGGAAATACTCAGTGATAAAAATTCCTAAAGCTAATTTTACTTTTGATTCCAAAAATGGTTAACTTCCACGAAACATAATTTTTCTAGTTTCAGCAACGAAATACTTATTTATTAATGCAATATGATAAAATTATTCATTTGTGCCGCAGTATTAAAATTGAACAGCGTATAGAAGCACACATATTTAATACTGTGCAACGGTTTGTCCCTCTTAAATAAAGTCAGTTTGATTTTGTGCTATAATCTGACGCAAACAAAAATTTAATGTGAATAAAACATGTTATATGTTTATGAAGTTCGTATTTAAATACATACATATTGATAAGGAGTAACTCGCTCTTCCCTCCACCTGCGGCACAGGAAAAAAAAATCGAATAGGTAAAGAAAAAAAAAAGGGGGGGGGGGAGATTTCTATTAACATAAAGCCAAAAAAACTTCTGATTATAGCCAAAACAACCCGCTACATTTATACCTATAATACCTGAAATATGAGATAATATCATCAATATTGTCAAGTTTATCATCAATATTGTGTAAGGTTTCAATGATGTTCTGTTATATACTGTCACTTTTTGATATACTACAGACTTACTGTGGATACCCCCCCCCCCTTGTTTTCTTAGGGATTGAAGTAAAAGGGGAAAACTGGGAAAACAGGTCATTCATAGCAAGCACCCTGTTATTACCGACAGGTACCCTGTTACCCACCGACGTAAATTAAGGTACAAAAACAGCAAATTTATTTTTAACGAATAATAACTTTTAGTGATAACGTTATTACGTCACACGTTAACAGCTAGAATAAAAAGAAGCCCGGAAAACACACAGACAGTCACAGAAAAACGATGGCAGACAAATTCAGAAAAATAGAATATATTTAGAATTTTATCAACAAAATGTGCACAGATCTTAGAGACAATTTTCAACACACATTTATTTTTAAACTTTTCCTACGTTAGAACTACTTATTAGCAAAAGCTATCATATTTGGAAAAAGGATGCATAACTATTATCAAAGATATTTAAAGTAAATTAACTTCATGACACACGTCGTTCATTTTTCTTAAAGAGAAGGAATGGGACAGAGAAGAGATTCTACTTCCTTTATGTCAACTTACGGTGACAGACTAATACTATTTCCCTTTTTATAAAACAGTTAATTCATATTTATGAATATTTTTTGTTTCATTTTATTCATCGTGTTCCATAAAGCCTTATATTTTAAAACTCGAGGTTGGAAGTATTTTTTATTTTATGTTTGGTAAATTCTTTCACTTTGAAATTTAATTACTATGTTCAATATGAAACATTTTAATAAATGAAATGAAATCAAAAAATATTATTTAGTTACTTAATAGGAAAGGAAATAGCGGTAAATTAACATGGAGGAATAATTATTCAATTGAATATGAGTTTATTCATCATAAAAATAGATGCTTTAAAATTTAAAAAAAAATTACACAGAATGGGAAAATATTCGACTACTGGAGACTTCCCTATTGGAAATACTGGGAAATTATCAATTACTTATTTGGACATAATACTATGAAACAGTTTTATGTAAAACAAAATATCTTTAAGGAAAAAATATGTCTTAATCCCGATATGGCCCTAACTCGTAATTTGTAATACTCACATCAAAACGAACTTGTCAAATCAAATAAAAATTACTAATCACTTTGAAGTTAAAAACACAAAAATTTAAAAACTAAGCACCCAAAAATTAACTTAATCAAACCATAAAATTGCTAGTAAAATTTTCCTTACCCGAAAAAAACTTCATTAAATCAATCAATAATTCATTAAATTAATATAAAACTAAGATTGGAGGAATTGCTCATATAGATGAATCTCATACGTTCTCCAAACGAAATTGTTTTTTGTTGTTAAAATCTGTCTGTTTACCAACTGAATATATGATGAAAAAAAGGAACAAATTGGATCAATGCCAAGGCTGTTGTTTACGTCTCATTGTTTTCAATTAGAAACAATGGATTTACAACTTATTAATTAGGAGATGAAAGAAAGATGATCGCAACTTAAAATTTGTTCCTCAAGCAAACATGTTGCTAATATTTCTATATACTATATATCTATTCTATTTCTGCAACTATTTCTAATTGAAATTTTACGGGTTCTTCGGTACGTTTGACCCATATGATAAGTATCGTAAGTATTATTTTCACATTATACTAATAAAGATGACTTTCGATAATGAAATTTCACAGTTATTATACAGTTTGAAACAGGACTGAGTAGTATTCAGATTTAAATTGGACTCTCAATTAGTTTTGTGTTCCATTACATAGCACAATTCTGATTTACATAATATTAAATCCGTTTGTACTAATAAAAAAATAATTTTTCTCTGACGAAATTCGTCACTGTCTCTTAACCCTTTGGCGCTGTAATTATGTATCGCAGCAGTTTGTAGCATGTAGTGGATGTATATAATGGATAGTAATAATTAATAAATACCAAATATATTTTTGCTGCAAATTAGAGAGTCAAAAAAAAANAAAAAAAAAAATATATATATATATATATATATAAAAGGGACACCGTGTCCTATCTGCGTCAGATGTACTATTTTTTTAAAAAATTTCAATTATAAAATGTAATTTTAAATAAAGTTTCTGTTACACTAATCGTATATTAAAATTATATAGTATACACTAATACGTAGTACACTAATCGTATATTAAAATTATATAGGTATAATTTTGTTAAAAAAAAAAAAAAAAAAACTATGAATGACGTTCACTCTAACTTTCTGAACGTTCGACGACTTTGTTTGCATGTTTCAAAGCATTCTGCCGAGTAAATCAATTAAGATAATTTAGAGCAAATATAATATTTGACCCCTATGTTCACACTTCTGGCAGTTGAGATCAATCGATTCTACAGATTTCACTTGTTTCCTTTTAAAATCACAAAATATCTCAAATCTAAATATATTTTCTATAACTTAACTTAAAAAAAGATTTAAGAAATTCATTGGTGACAATGCTTAGATTTAGCATTTTTTTTAAACAGACCACACGTTGTAACTCGAAGAAGAAAAAATATTTGTGAATTAGATTTCAAAATATTAAATGTATTAAACAAGCACGTCGTTATTTAGACTTTGGGATATTTCAAATAATCGTTTTCACCTAATTTCATTGTTCGATTAGTGGACAAATTTATTTGAATGAGCATTAATTGAGAAAGGAATGTAAACGCATATACTGCTTCAATTCGACAGTTAAAATTTAGAAGAGAAAGGGGAGAACTTTTTGCAGTGATATCCATGACTGCTACTTTTGACCTCTATGATTAATCACCCTGTCCTATCATTTGACCTGACTTACCAAGGTCAGCCTATGCTAATAAGGGTGTCTGCACTTCAGACTCCTACTCGTGGAATGACGGAGCTATTATTTAATGAGTTAAATTTCATCATGCACTATATAACGTATTTTTTTAAAGTTATTTTCTCACTTCTCTGACCATTAATTATTCGTTCATTTTCTAGGTAAAAACAATTCAGTAAAATGTATCGCCTCTTATGGCAATAGTATAAATTTTTGCATTCAATTCAGTAGAATCCAAAATTTTATATTTAAGGAACTTCGATCACCATTTTATAAATTTTGCGAATATATTCGCCACAAACACAGGCCCTACCACCAACTCGTTGACAGTTCAAGCAGTCGAAGTGGATGGTAGGTACTAAAAAAGAATCAAATCGTGCATCGGCCCAAGAAACAGCCCTTACACTAAACAAAATGTAACTGCATTGGTTTGAATGTAAGGTTTTAGGTATAACATTTGTATGCGGCTACGAGCTAAATTGTAAGTAAAAAAAAATTCTTTTGATTCAAAGCGGAGAGAAAAAACAAAACGAATTTCTTGATTAAATTAACCAGAATTGATCGAACATGCAATGCATTGGTTTGAATTAATAACATTCATTGAATAGAAAACCGCTCGAAACTCTCGCGATTGTGCCTGACAAGGGGATTTAAACCGGTGATCCGTCTACCACTGAGAATATTTTTATTAGCAGAATTCGTATCTGTCAGTCATCGCTGAGATTCGAACCTGGGATGCGAGGTCTCGATCCCCTGAGCCAATTATACTTCCAGATTAATTTAGCTTCTCCAAAAGATGTAAAGGGAATTCTTTCAAAATAATTTTAGTAATATTTGACAATGAGTTGTGGTCGGGCTAACCGTGGGAGATTTTCGTAAATTTTTCTCTAAGTGTAACACAAAGACGGGCTTGTTTCATTAAAAAAGTTAATGGCCTGTTTGCTCCAATGGTTGATCCAGAAGTTCCCTTGTCAAAAGGGTTGGGTTCAAAATTACAAGGATACGGAGTTGAACATTGATAGTCATAAACTCAGAATCGGGTCTGCTGTTCAACATCGGTTATAAAATATTGTACATTGTAAGACTGCACTGCCCACGGAGGTTTGTAGGAACGCCGGCATTAAATTCGAGTGATGTTTGTTAACTGCCATTAAATTCGTTACGTCAGAATGTATTGACTAAGTAGCTGGTGAAATTGAAAGTGGATAACGTGTTGACTTAGATAATTAATTTTCCATGATTTATATAGGCGTTATGACTTAATGAAAAGGAAAATGTAACTATTTTATCAAGCAAATAAATGAGTCTATCATTAATGATTTATTAATTGTCTGCTCTATAGGTAACAAAAAAGTAATTTAAGAAATTCGTGAAGACATGGCTCATTAACCGACATCGGTTGGAAGTTATTGCGTTTTCAAGACTATGTCTACGAAGAGAAGGAAGTTCAGAAACCATTCGTATAGAAAAGATTTCGTTCAGATAAACCAAAAATAAAGATCCGAATGGTGGTTTTTTATTTCAATATATCGAACAGCAAACAAATTATGACAGGAGTTACAATTAAGGAGTGGAAAAGTAATCCTGTCACAATTTGATGTTTTGAAAAATGCAAAGCAATTATTTGAAACTTCGCAGTTGACTCTTGGCTTATCTGATCATAATCAAATTGCAAACAAATTATGACAGGATCAGCTACTGTTAAGGAGAGGGAAAGTAATCCTGTCACAATTTGTTTGCAATTTGATTACATTCAGATTAACCAAGAGTAAACTGAAGTTTTAAATGGTTGCTAAAAAATAAAAAAAACAAAATTTAAAAAAAAAAACATCAAATTACGAATAAATGACAGATTTAGCTAGTGTTGGGAGAAAGAGAGCAATATATAATATATATAGCGTATATTGCTCTCTACACGCATAAAATTTAGCATATATAATATATATGTACTGATATAGCCCGTTAATTTGCTTGCAATTTGATAATTTTGAAAGCAAAATAAAAACTTTCAACACTTGAAACTTCATCATTTACACCTGGCTCGTCTGAACTCATCCCATGAAGTTTTTTCCGCGATATAGCAATCCGCTATAGACTCAAGAGTACCCGCTTCCTCGTATTCTAAATTGAGTTCAAATATACAAAAACTTGCGTGTAAGCTTCAATTTCATTACACGGATTCAATAAAATAAGGGATGCTTTATGTTGTATTGATTAGTGCAATGCAAATTTAACACGGTCTATTTATTTAAGGTTTATAAACCTAGTTTTAAGTTGGCGAGAAAATTATGACTCTTACAAGCATCATTCAATAGTGCGAAAAGCTCTGATTATTTAATTTTCTCCCGTTGAAATTTTTAGCGTGTTTATTCAATTGGTTAATTTTATGCATAATTAATAAGATAATTCACTTTTCATTTCATAAGCATATCATTAAAAGTTCACGCAGCTGTGGCAGGTATTATTGCGAAAGATTCTTGAATTGGTGAAAGAGCAAAAATAAAAAAGAACGAAGTAATCTATGAATCTGCGAAACAGCAAATGGGTGAATCAGAGAATTAAATCGGTGATTCCATGAATCAATTTATAAATAAGAAGCTTTTTTAACCTTTATTTAGTGGTAAAACTTTCAACAACCACAATATTGTGATTTTTCTTCTCTAAAATTATATTTTAAGCACTTTTAAACTTCTTGGCAAATGGAGAAGAAACACTTAACAATTCACAACTGTTTGATGTCTATAATTTGGAACTTTAAACAACCTCTGCCAAAATGATTTTTTTTTTCTGTCAATCCCAATTGTTAGTCTTTTTAGATGACTTTTCACTCACCTTCATAAGTATTTCTATCACTACACTATTTTTCAATGAAATATTTAAATAATAATAATAATAATCTCACAATGTTTAAAATTCGAGCTCATTGCACCAAAATAAATCTCGATATTCTAGGAAGTATTTTAAACTTAATTAAATAATTACTTATTCACTTGATAAATGACATAATGCCAAGCATTAGAATCACTGGCGTTATTCCAGCGTTTACGTTTTCGCTATTTTAATTGTTTGAAGAGCCGTGATTTTCTTTTCTTTTTTTCTGAGGATGAAATGTTTCACTAAATGTTAAATCAAATTAGTTTAACAGATATTAGAACAACTGCAATTGAAGTTTTTTTTTTTAAAAAAAAAAGTATGCAAGAGACTGTGAGACATGGAAAAGCATTAATTTTCATTACTTACCAAATTCAGATTTCTAAATGGAGCATAAAATAAAATTTTGCTTACGTCACTTTGAAGAAGATTGTCGTTAATTTAAAAATTATAATTTCATATAAGAATGAAACACTTAGGAAAAAAATTTATATATTCACACTTATGTTTAAATTAATTGATTTAATTCTAAATTTTTCCAACGGATTCAATCTTTAATTTATACACTTAAAAGGAAATTTTTAAATAAAAAGTACCGCCAAAACAACCAAATAATGGAACTCAAACAGTCAACACTACATATGTTTACATCACATAAATTTCAAATTATATATATATATATACGAATTTAAAATTTTATATATATATATAAACTGAAGATAGCATGCTTTCGAAAAAGTATTCAAATATCAGAATTTAAAAAATTGAGATAATGTTAGAAGATGACAAAAAAAAAAAAGCTGGACATATTTTAATATTTACAAAACATTCACACTTATTTGATATTTTGAATTTCACAACAAGAAATTCAATATCCAAAATAAAGTTCCAAACTATACACAAAAATATAGAAAACGAATTCAAATATTTTTCAAGATTTACATTAAGCAAACCAGGATTTCAAATATATATCAGAACATTTACACAAAACTTAAAAATATTTACCCAAAAATTGTGGTGATATTCATTTTGAGCATCTAAAGTTGAACTGAGACGACTAGGTAAAATCCTTGTGGTTTTTGCAATTCGTAAACATCTTATGACTGTTTTCACCAACATGATGGTAGATTAGAGAATAAAAATAATTTAAAGAAAAATTTAGAAACGTTACTAATGGCTAGAGTAGCCCCCTTTAAATTCTGGCACTGGCAATTCTGTCGCCGCGGGGCTAGATATTTACTGATGCTTATGCTTACAAGACAGACTTGTGTGGGCACAGAGAAGAGAAAATTCTCCTAAGCTTTTTGACTATTTCGCCAGAGGGCGTGGTGTACACCAGTTTTAAGTTGTTGTTGTTGTTAAAAAGGGGCGTTGGGTTTGTTATTCCTGGAATTTGAAGGGATAGTTTATTCGTAAGGGGGTGAGGGGTGAATGAGGAGTCTGATGTTAGAAGGTTTGTGATAAAGAAAAACTCGTGATTTTCATTAATGATTAGTTTAAGACAAATATGCTGCAGCTCTGTTTTTTTTTTTTTTTTTGAGGATGAAAAATTTAATGTGATAAATAAATAATTCAATGATTAATGATTGTTTAGAAGGAGAAATTTTTTGTTGACAGAGTGAATCCTTATGGAAAACCACATTTTTAAGAATGTTTAGGGTATTTTAAGCTATTTATTTAATTTTATTATTTATCGTATATATTGTTTTTATAATGTAATTTTTTTCATATAAATTTTTTTCATATACTATATTTTTTTCATATATAATTTCATTCATATTCAAAAAATTATCAATAATTGATTTTGAAAATTAAAGAAATTTCTATGTTGAATAATTGTTTCTCTTATATCTAAATAACTGCAAATTTGAAAAACTATTGTTTAGAAGTTAACAGTGTTTGGAAGATTTTACTTTTAACTCTGAAAAAGACAACGGTGTTTCCTGCAGCATTTCATAAATTATTAAAATGCTAAATATAATATTCTTCACTTATTCTAACCTAAATTAATACAAGATAATGAAAACAATCTGAAAAATAAATTTAATAAAAATTCTGCGTCAAACGGATAAAAGCTAGATATCATTATCTTACTCCCACAAATATAAACGTCTCATGTGTCAAATTATGTAGTGAACATTTATGAACTTGAAAACTACCACGAATACTACTAATAAATTAATTCGCATAGTTTTTTTTTTTTTTAGAATTAAATTAACTAAATAAATTTGGTTTTGGATCTTACAGTAAATTAAGATAAATTATTGATAATTCATATATTTATGGTTTCAATAATTTCCTGTATTCTTTTTCAATAGTTCATTTAAGCATAGGTTCAAAAAAGTTTAGAAAGGATTCATTAAGTTTGTGGTAAGGTATAATCGAAATAGCTGTCATAATATTCACTTGAGAAATAATTTTAGTTACCAACTAATAAATATTTGTATAAATATTTTTTCTCAAGATCGACCCGAGTCGAGTAAATTTTTCCGACTCCGATTTATGTAAAATTTTTGACGACTCCGAATCAGCAGTATGCAATTAAAAAAACAATAGATTTTACTATTAAAATTTATTGTCTTATATGAACTAAGAAAAAATACAGATGATCATCGAAAATTTTGGATTTAGTAACTATGTTGTAAAAACTCACGATTTGACTTAAATTTTAAGTAATTAATTGTATTACTTTATATAGTTAATCTTTTTACTTTACAATAGTTAATTATGTTACTTACATTATTAATTATTTTTCGTTAATTTTATGATTAGAGCATAGCATATATACTCTGTACTTAATGATTTAAGTTGAGAGTGTTCTGTAATCAACGTCCTTAATTCATATTTTTAGAATGATTTATAAATCGATTCGAACAATTAGAATTATTGATATCAAAAAGGCAATTAAGTTTGCAGATTACTATTTATTTAAAAAAAAAAGTTATTAAAATCTGAAGAATAATTAGAATCATTTTGACTATTTTGATGTCCCCGAAAGGTGCACAATTAAAAACGCTTTTCAGTCTCACCTAATATCTCATAAAACTGGTTTTAATCGATTTAACTCTACCTAAACTCGATAGAGAATCGTCAGAATTTGATTGTTTACTAATTGAAAGATTAATCTATAATACTTAATGTTTTCAAATGATAATGATAAACATATATTAAGTGCAGTAGTTGCGAAACACTCCTTGGTTTCTAGACTATCTTTTGTCTAATGTTGCCATTTTTGTTTTTCTTGACTTATTATTATAATAAGATACTAAGATAAATCATTATGATAGTTTTAGTAGAATTCCTATTAGTGCTATTGTAGAAACGTTCACTTAGAGTATTAAATATGAAAAGAGTAACTTTTTTTTAAAATGTCATCGGACATTTTTTCATACGTCATATGATACCTGATATTTTGGAACAAAATCCATAAATTTCAAAGTTTTGAGCTCGACAAGCGCTGAGTGATTGAAAAGTAATTTCGCAGTACTATTTTTAGCCACTTCTATTTCAGTTGGAAACTACATTTCCTTCGATTTTCTAGCTTACTTTGAGAGCATTCTCTAAAACCAAAAAATTTAAATATATATGAAAAATCATTGTAGCGTAGCCATACAATTTATTAAAGATATAAATTCCGCAAAAATTTCATTATTTTCTTAAGTTTTTCTTTTTAAATATTTTATGCAAAAATTTAAACATGAATAAACTAAATGTTTTAAAATTTCTTCAAATTAAATAGCCGTAAAGAGAAGCCAGCAGTTGCTTGATTAATAATAATTAGTTATTTTTGCATAATATAATTTATTTCCATAAATGTAATTTTTTATAAATATATTTTATTTTAACATATTATCATTTTTGCTTTGCTTCTAAAATGAATTGAGAAACTGGATAAAATTTGAGTGAAAATGAATGAAACTTAAAATAAATGAAGAATGGAATAATAAAACAAAAATTTCTGGGCACCTTGTGTATTGAACCTGATATAACATAAAATAATTTTATTTACTTATTTCTTTACTTTCTTTTAAGCGTAGCATAGAAAGCTTCCAATCAGCATTAAATTATGTGCGGCCTTTTTGAAAATTAGGCTTTAAATTTTATTTTATTCCACTACCACAGTTGAACAGCCAACCCAATTCTGAGTTTACGGGTTTCAATGATCAACTCCGCAGCCTTATAGTTCTGTGCCCCACCCAGAAGACAAAGAAACTTTTGGAACAAGCATTGGAATAAGCTAGCCTTCGTGAGCAACTTTCTAATGGAACTAACCCGCATTTGCGCTACACAGAGAGGGAAATCACTAAAACCTCTTACGGTTAGCCCAATGGCAAGGGGATTCTAATCCATGAGTCTCCACTTAGGACATTTTACGTCAGCACTGTGATCGGTGCGAGCCCAGAGCAGAATTCGTATCAACTAGCCACTGATGGGACTCGAACCTGGGTTATTCCATTGGGAAGCAAACGCACTATCCTGTCACTCTATCCAGTCAGGTAATGAAAATCTGGTCATGGACCAGGACTAATTGCTCGGTCTCCGGTATATGTTTAAAATAAAGACACTATTTATTTACTAAATACCTTTATTTTGAAATCCTTTTATTAATGTTCTCTAGTTTATTGGTTTTATATTTTCATAAAAATTGGCATTACAAAATGGTATTTTTTTTTACATTTATTTCAAAAAACGAGGGAAAAATTTCTTTCATCTGATTTAATTTTTTAAAATATTAACATTAATTTTACATTTATTTAAAAAACGAGGGAAAAATTTCTTTCACCTGATTTAATTTTTTACAATATTAACATTAATTTTACATTTATTTAAAAAACGAGGGAAAAATTTCTTTCATCTGATTTAATTTTTTAAAATATTAACATTAATTTTACATTTATTTCAAAAACGAGGGAAAAATTTCTTTCATCTGATTTAATTTTTTAAAATATTAACATTAATTTTACATTTATTT